ATTTTTAGCTTTCAACATAGTTAAAGGATAGGTGATTAATTGCTTCCTAATTATTTCTACACGAAAGACAAGTAACAGAGTTCCCTAATAGAATGCCTTTTCTCATAAGTTTAGCTTTAATCAATAATCTACCTTGCATTAGGAGCTAGCAAAAAACTTTCACCTTAGGAGGAAAAAAGCCACTCCATATCGATTTCCAAAACGAACTATTGCTATAGTCACCAATACTAACAGCATTGCAAAAGTCCTTAACTTTATATAATCCCTATGTTGAACCTTTCCAAATAACTATGTTCTTTGCATTAAGGTCCAAACAATTTAGGACTAAGCACCGATTTGCCAAAACCGCATAATCGACCGGTGCTAACAATTTTCATTCGGGAACAAGTCGATTTTTCAATGCTAATTGTGATGTCGATTAAAGGCAGCAGTTACCACGATTTTTCAGCTCAATCATTAGTAAGGAACTCTTTCCCTCGACAGTAACCAAATAACTAATCTTTTCTTTTTTAATTATATTTATATGGGAGAAATTACATATTTAACCTTTCTCATTAATTCCCCTGACCCCCATTCCTCTCTACACCACACGTTAATCCTTTATCCTTTCCCATAGTGCAATCATAACCCCCATGCTATCCCTAAGCCTCCCTTGCCTTGCTCAAGTTAGCCGCATAATCAACCGATTATGGTTTGTCACGGTTTGGTCGATTCTCCCATTAGCATCAATCGATGGCAATTGATTCACCCTCCTTGGTCAACTTGCTTGCTTACGACCTCCTCAACTATTTAGAAAAATTTAATAATTTTTTATTCTTTTATTATGTTCAATCAAACTCTTATATTTTTATTTTTAGTCAAACAAGCTCTTATAATTAATAGTTAACTAATTATCATTAGTGAAAATGTCATTTGTTATTTTGTTCCATGTGGTATTGATGTTGCATGATGACATGACATACTGATGTGGTATGATAACATGATCATTTGATATTTTTAATTTTTTATGTCAACGTCACGTAAGTGTAAAATAACAAATGACATTTTGACTAATAACAATTAGTCAATCATTAGTTATAAAAGTATATTTAATCTAAAATAAAAATATAATGATTTGAGTGAATAAAATAAAAGAATAAAAACTTATTTAAATTTTTTTAAAATAGTTTAAGAATTTTCAAGCATTGCACTTTTTTTTTCTCATCTAAAAGAATGATCTTTTCCTAAAAGGAAATCGAAAATCTATTAATTATTTGTAAAGTAAAAAAAATGAAACTGAATAAGAACTTGAAACTATTTCCACGTGTAGCATGATAATAATTGTATCTTATCTAAGCTTTATATATATATGCCCCAAATGCCCAAAATATGCTCCTTTTCTTGTAGAAAATTTTACAATATTTTAAAAAACTTCTTGAACTATTTAAAAAAATTAAAATTTTTTTATTATATTTAATCAAATTTATTTACTTTCATTTTAAGTCAAATAGGCTCTTATAACTAATAGTTGATTAAAAAGGCATTTGGTATATATACAGTAAATAACTTTACAAGGATTTTAATTAACAGGAAGGGCTTTACACCATTTGATATGCTAAGATGTTAAGAATATAACTTTAAATGGATATCAGATTGCAACAGTAGGAAGGGAATGTGATTCCCTCTTATATTGGAAGGAATGTTACTTTCTTATAATCGAAGGAAAGTAAAGTGGACTAAAATGATAAGAAGCCCCTCGAACTGAACTCTCCGGAGAGGAGAAAGGGGTGCCATTAGAATTTGGTGATGGGAGCAAGGAGGAAAGAAAGAAAAAAAAAAGAAAAGAAAAGAAAAAGAACCCGGAGCTCATCGAGAAAGACAATGGGTGTAGCTGTATGGGAAATAAAAAGAAAAAAAATGAAAGAAAGAAAATGGTGGGTTGTGTGGCAACTTAGATGCCCAATATAACT